ATAGCTACAAGTTAACGAAACAAAAATGAAAACCCTGCAATATTTTTGGGTGGTCATGATTCCCCTTCGAAGGCGGAAGTGGTGAAGCGGCAAATGGAGTTGGGCAAGCGCACCATTCGTGGAGCAAATCCTGGGTTATATGGTCGTTAAAGCCGACCAGGCTTTCCAACCCTCTAGTGTATGATGCTGGTTGTAGTCGGAAATTGGTGCCAGGCTGGTTTGGGACAGTAGAAAATACTGACTGCATATCATCTCCCCCAACTCATGGTATGGTACAAATGGCCTTTAGAACGCGGTTCTATTCTTTTACCCGAGGAATGCTTGAAAGGGCTACTTCTGGGCTAGGCTTGTAACTTCCAAATCTGTCAAATCTATACAGAGGGTGTGAGAAGCTCTGTTTTGCTTGCAGCTAGCTAGCATAGTGGCACAACTTTTGGCATAAGAGAATGATTCGGACTCGACTTTACTCAGGGAAAATGGAGTTGTAAATGGAAGTTTTCTAGGCTTGCTCTGGGATCCTCGCCAGGTCAAACGACAAGATTTACGCTTTGATTGAATGCAATCAGCAAAGCTTGAAACGAGCGAAGTCTCGACAGGTCATCGAGGTGTACTGTCTGTGGGATGGGTGCTAGCGTATGTACATCAGGAAGCAGTTTTTGGAAGGCTTATAAAAGAACCACGTTCCCTCCCCTACCCTTACCTCCCCCGTCCATTAAGCAAACACAAAAAAATGTTGCGGTCACTGAAATATTGACTACGATAAACCACTTTCAACTGTTTGAAAATCGAGTAGCAGTTCACAAAGTGGTTGAGGCGAACCTGATTATCACTTGCAGCAATATTGCTGTCATGAAAGTTGGGGGGGGGTGGAAAGCTGAACTCCAGTGTCATAGAGAATTTTCTTCAAGTGATACAATAGGCGCTATTTAGATCACAGTTGGTGCCTTTGATATGGCAGGACAGCGTTGTATGGCGCTTTGCACAGCCGTCCTTGTTGGAGAGGCTCGCTCATGGGTCAACGACATTGTTGAAAGAGCCAAGAAGTTCAGCGTAAATGCAGGTTTGACTCAGCTTTTAACTCAACCCAAAAACTCCATTGAGTTATGTCTGCACATTTTAAGGATGGAAAGACGGAGCCGAAATCGGCCCGGTGATCTCAAAGGCTTCACAGGAGCGCGTAATCAGTCTCATTGCTAGCGCGAAGAAGGTATGCTCAACTGTCAGCAGATTACAACTGCTTGTAGTTCACCGGATATACCGATATAATATTACAGGAAGGAGCTGGTGTCCCGCTTGATGGAAGCAAACACGTCGTCCCTGGCTTCGAAAACGGCTACTTCGTTGGGCCAACAATCATCACCGGAGTAAAGCCAAATATGACTTGCTACAAGGTCGGTCTCGAAAGGCTTCTGTAATCTATTTGGCTACGACTCCTACACCTGAAGTGTTGAAGAAACGTTCTCTTCAGTGAGAATAAATAATTTCAGGAGGAGATCTTCGGCCCTGTCCTTATTCTCATGGAAGCTGAAACCTTGAATGATGCCATTGAGATTCTGAACAACAACCCCTACGGAAACGGAGCTGCCATTTTCACAGCCAATGGCGCTGTTGCTAGAAAGTATGCCAAGCTATTCGTATTTGTAGCTATTTCCAGATGTTTATACTCACCCTTATAGGTTCATCAACGAGGTAGAAAATGGCCATATCGGTGTGAACGTGCCTGTGCCCATCCCCCTGCCCATGTTCTCTTTCACTGGATCGCGCGGTTCGTTCAGAGGCGACTTGAACTACTACGGAAAGGTAAGTTGTATGAGCTGCTCTGTTCAGTGGGAGCAATTGAGATAATTCAAACATTTCCAGGCCGGACTTCAATTCTACACACAGTGGAAGACCGTCACGCAACACTGGGGCGAGAACCTGGCCGATATGAAGCGTCAAATGTCTTTCCCTAAGTAGATGCAATATACAATTGGAATATGACGTGATAGTCAATCTCGGGCTTTTATTTATATTAAGACAAAATGTTTGTTCTATCATGTCACGATTATTTTATTGAAGAAAGCATACCATCTAAAAGTTCCACCGTACACCTGACTTACCCATTCATAAATAATGACGTGTACACATAGCACCAAATTCACTCCATGTCAGGCTTCCTCATCTGCTTACTCTCGAAGAGCCTTTGCCAACATATTCGGTAGCTTCAAGAGTTGGACACGGTGCCTTTAGAGCATATAATAGCCGTTTCACAACGATCACACAACGATCTTCCGAAACACGCAAAAGCTCCGACAGCAAAAGGTCCTCCTGGTGGGCTTGTTTTGTTGAATTCGAGAAGAGGAACACATTTTTAGAAGAAATACGCATACAAAGCGCTAATGCGACTCTCGTTGGTGAACGCAATTCCAGGATAGAAGCAGAAAGACGAGCTGCTTAACAATTCTTTTGAGCACTTAGCAAGCCAATGAAATTCAGGTGAACTCTAACTCATCATTTCAGATTGGTGATGAAATTGACAGAGGTGGTGGAAGCGTCAGAAGAAATTGCCATAGTATGAGTATAATAATTAAAACTAAAATTGTTTGTGGTGCTTGAACGGGGTATGCAATTGTTTTTGCGTGAACGAAGAAAGAAAAGGGCAAAAAATCTGATGGCCAGCTGGTTTTGCTTTAAAGGCAAAGGTCGGGCTCAGACACGCTAGAGAAGTAATTCCCGTGCCTGGAGGTTGTATGTGGGTAGCTGCACACATTGCAGCAACTTTCCACCTTGAAAAACGTCGTTAAGGCCCCGGGCGTCGGTTTCAATCCGGGACCGCCTCGTCAATCCGGGACCGCCCACCTCCGGAAGTGGTGCGTGGCTGGCATAACGTGTGAAACAACTAGGATTGATTGCCGTATCAACGATAGAGAACGACAGACATTATACGAAGTTGTGCGGTTGCTTCTTGATTGATTCTCTTCCTCTTTTTTTTTTTTTTTTTTTTTTTTTTTTTTTTTTTTTTTTTTTTTTTTTTTTTTTTTTTTTTTTTTTTTTTTTTTTTTTTTTTTTTTTTTTTTTTTTTTTTTTTTTTTTTTTGAATTAAGGGTTTTGTTAACGGCCTTGTCGACGGTTTTTCTCAGTTTTTTCTCCACTGTCGTTCCACTTCGCATCTCTATACTCAGTTTCAATCGCCATAATACCCCCTTATTGAGCCCGACTTTTGCCTTCAAAGCATGCCCACAGGATAAGGTTTCGTTGTGGGTTTTTTTTCTGTATAACGGAATGCGAATGTATCGGTGCCAAGTGGGCCGGCAGTAAAGAAAAAAGAAAAGAATCCGTCGAAAACGCTCAGGTTGAGGGCTCACTCACCTTCCTAATCGGCTGTGCTAAGGGAATGAGAGACTAAGCGCGGAGGAGAGTATGGGGCGAGAGAGCGCTACAGATGAGAGATCGCCAGACAACAGCCTGATAAGAGAAAAAAGTCTGCAGCTTGGGCAGCTTACTTTGCAAGGCCCAAGCGCTCTTATCGGTTGGTTTCCGTGCACGAGAACGCCACATTTGTGATTGTCCTCTAGGGATCTTATACGACAGACCGAAGGAAGCTTATACGACCTCTGCTGGGTTGTCCTTTAGAGTAGCGTTTTAAGTGGTGCTAGCTTCGTTAAGGCACTCCTTCTCCTCTTTCTTTTGCCCCTTACGCCCCACCCCCACGGCCAGATTAGCAGATCGCCATTTGTTTGGGAGTCCCAGCGCAGTCGATAAATGTGAGTGTGTGGTATTGGGCCAAGTTTTTACAAAAAATGAAAAAGAAGCAAATAGAAAGTAAGATGGAGCCATAAACAAGAATTACCTCAAAGTTAGGTAGTGGTGGGGCCAGACGATTGCACGGAACTCGCCAACAAACCGGCTATGTAGGTACCGGATATCTTAGTGTCGCTTTTTCACCACGAGTTTCGGACCACCAATATTTTAATTCAGAATCCGGGGAGTGAAACAGCATATTCATCGAATGACTCACTTAGCACTTTTCCCATTTACCGTATATGGTGAACCTCTCGTACGAGTAGAAGCTAGGAATTTTTTGAGTCGAGAGGTAGGTCGGTTTTGACATCATCTGACAAATCATCCCTCTCACTTGCTAAAAAGTTAGGCCTGGACAAAGAAGTATACAGTTAGTTAGAGTAGGGTCTGCACTGTATGGTGGAAAAATTAAAACTTACCAGCTCAACTGGACAATTTTTCCCGGAGTCTTTTTTGCCACATAGGGTCAAAAACGCACCCTTTTTGAGCACACGTGAGTAGCAGATGAGCACATTTATTAGAATTTCTTGTGCAATCAACTTCGTTAAGCGTTGTGCATCATCGATCAGTCACTGCTAAGGTGTCCTACCATTTCAGCACAAGACTGGTGCAGCCCCGTCTCGACTGATTTAACTAGGGCCACCTTTTTGACGACGATTGCGGGCATCACTTCAAAGACTTCACTGTCTTTTGAGAAAACTGTGAAAAACCGATGAGCATTTTAAATGGTAGTATTCCCTCCAACAAATGCAATGCTGGTTTGGTGGGCGGAAGTTGTAGCTCTCAGCAAGAATTTTGAAGCATTTGGTACACACATGCGAATTTGCACACTGGACCCAGGAATTTTCAAAAAAAGTATAAAAATTGGGGGAAAGTTAAATTGTGAACCAACAATAGAAAACAATAAGCAACATATTTCGCAGTATTAATGAGCAAAAAGGACTTTCTGAGATATTGATTTTCCATAGTAATCGGCCCCAAAACTTCCTGAACTCAGAAAAGCGACACTAAGATATCCGGTACCTAATATAGCCGCTAGCCAAGTTAATTCACAATTTTCCTATCATAGGATGTTGTGCTGTATCTCGTCCAAATGTTTTTTTTATAGTGCCATATGTTGAATTTGGAATACGCAAGCGCCATTGTCGCGCACTTTCGAGCGGCGACAGCGGCTCATCTGTGACAGTTGTCTATCCCATTGAATAATTTTTTGACACCATTTGCTTAGGGTGTTGCTTCAACGATGCTTCGATGAGTTGGTTATGAACTGGGAATTAAAGCGGAGCTGCTATTCGGCTCAATAGTTGATAACAAACCAACGGGAACGATCCACACTCCGGAAAAAGGACCCTCACTCCTCACGTTGGGCGAGTCTTATTGGTAGCGGCGTAATCATAAAAGCGCTTTGTTTTGCCACTCTGCTAAAAGCTGATGTGAGTCCTACAGTGGTGGAGAAGATCAGAACTAGGGTGCCCTTAGTCGGATGGAACGGCAGAGGCGGAAGACTTTCGAAAGGACGGGCAAGGCTTCGCTAGCCCGCAATAGACGCGTCATATGCCCGCAAAAGCGCCATCCTCTGCTACTACTGTAGTGGTGGGACGCCACTTTTTATGGAAATATCTGCCCATCTTCAATATACATTCTCGTGTCACCAGCCTGAACATCAGGCTCACGTCATATTGATGTTTAGATGTTCTTGAGCAAGGATGGAGCAATAGGAAATTCCCACCCATCATTTACTACAGTATCCAGGGTGGCTGAAGGAAGCCGTGCTGTCATAGATTGCCGAAGCTTGTCAAGACGAGGTAAAAGTATTTTGCTGGAGACCCCAATTTCAAGAAATGGTTTTTAAAGTTTGCGGCGTGCTGAAGGCGAGGGACTGGATAGGCAATCAGGCGGGATTTCCACATTCTTATGCAGAAATAATTGATGTGGTGATCTTCGTATTAGGACATCATCGAGGTGCGGCTGGTTTCCTGCAGCTGAACTCTGTGGTACTTACTCGTTCACTGGACTCCGTCAGCCAATTGTGGGTCGCTGCACCGCGCAGATCGCACCATGTTTTCGTCTTTTTCTCATGCATGGTCAATAAACCAGAGCGAGGCAGTTTTATCAGTGACAAGTGCATTCATGAGTCCATTCAAGAGTCCGAAGACGTAAACTACCAACATGAGGTACCAGATATAAAAAGAATCACAAAAATAAGCAAAACGATGGTCATGTGATGCTACGGGATAGCACGCGTCCACAGTTGGGGACAATACGAGAGGGTGCAGAGCAAAAGGTAACCTTCGTTTCACCACCTTCACCTTGCTCGTGTCTTTCTCATCTGTAAGTTAGATGTAACACACGGTTTGCGGAGCAACTGGAGTTACTGAGATGATATTTCTTGTATGTATTTGTGGAGGCAAGAAAGAGCCTTTTGCACGAGAACAAGAAGGAGGTCATGGAAAAGGTTCGATAGGTTAAAACTACAGGCCAGAAAACGAAATCTGAACAAAGTATGAACCTCTGAAAGGACGCAACAATAACTTGGGATCATTTTAATTCGTCTCACGATCAGCTGCAAGCCGCCGTGTCTGTCTTCTCTCTTTATTTGAAGGCCTGTAGTAAGGCACAGGCAGCTAACAGATTTCAAACCCAACCTAGCCCTGCTTAGTGAAACTAGTGGTCAAGGCTATTGTGGAGGTGAGACTGTTTCACTAAGCCTTAGATTGGATTCTAATTTTGATTGAAGTGTTTGGATACCATATTTTAGCCCATCATGTGTATGAACACATCCAAGACTATCACAAGAATGCTGAGTAACTTTCACAATGCGAACTGCGACGTAAAACAGCTGTTATCCAATAAAAGCATCCAAGACTTCCACGATACAGACCTTGGACACGTTCTGATTTTAGCGCAAAATACAAGCCATATTTGGTTGCATACTTGTTTCTCACCCTTTCCAGTTGCTTCAACTAACAACCAACCCTTTTTTCAAGTAGCAATTTTCAAAACTATTGCTAAGTAGGGTCGTACAGACCAGAGTAATCGGTCGAGGACTCGTCGACACCCGTCGATGATTTTCGCTCGTTTGGTCACGCTCTCCTGCGCGGATACCCTGGACACTGTTCTCACACAGTACAGAATCGTGGTTAAAGATTTCTTCGACCATTATTCACACTTCTACA